ATAAGGTTTTCATTATGTCGAAGGTCCACTGGTCATGGAACCGAGGGGCCTTGCGAAGGTTGTGGGGCACCCGTAATGGGAAGGAGACCGCACATTCAGTGCGTTCAAACGGTTACATAGACGGAAGATCAGGCACCATAGAGTCGGCGAAGAATTTGGCCTGATTGTCACCAACTATAACARTGACAGTGGAAGGGTAGGGGGTTGTATAAAGAGATGTCTCCCTAAAGTCGCTGGTAGAGCCAGACTGCCATAGTGCGCGATACACTCTAGTAGAGGTCCTGAGGTGCACCGGAATAATTGGTAAGGCACGATCGGGATTGTGTAGGCGCTGAGACATCGCGGATAGGATGCGCTCCTTAAGGCAGAGACGTTCCTGACGGACCATAACATACTCGAGGTCTTGGAAGTCAATGATAGTCTCCGCTCCAATAAGGGAAATTAGGGAAGCACTGCAACGGGTTGTGTGTAGAGCACGTTTGGCAGGAGAATGTGGACGAGGATGATCACGAGAAATGCGAGGCGAGAAAAAAAAAGATRTACCAGTGTTGATAGGGTCAACCAAGGTTAAGGTCGAAGCGGAGTCATCGGGAAGAGTAGCAAGCGCGGCGAAGGTTGAGTCGCAAACGGGTATGTCTGCTACCGTAGGAGAGTCAGCAGAACGAGACATCACGGTTACGTTGCTGTTGCGCTAGAGGTAGAGACAGGGGTAGCAGCATGAGGGCAAGCCTGCTTTGTGAAGTAAAACTGGAGGGCGTCAGCGTACGGGCAGGTAGAGGAGGTGGCCAGCGAGGCGGCAGCGGGTACAAAGGCCTCGTGCATGAAGGTCCTCACTCTCAGCGATGGACAAGCGGTTGCAAAGAAACACAAAATCCGTTGGGAGAGGTTGACGAGGACTGATGACGAAGAAAATCAGAGAGGGTCCGGACAAGGAGGACGTCCTCATCGGCGGGCAACGAGGAGTCAGGTTCYTGATYGGGAGTCAKGTTCCTAATTGGGATCGCTCGCGAAACTTTCTCAAGTGGTGTCGTCCACAGCGTTTGACGAATCACTAAGTAGAGCGTGAAAGTGACGAAAGAGGGATACTAGTCCCAAACCTCTGTGAGGGCCCCAACAGTATGTGGAAGATTGTCGAGGCTGATAGGGGCGAGGGGCTATAGTAGTAGCAGAATGGGAAGCGGCGRGCTGAGGCGAGGGGCCGACGACTAGAGTGTAAGTGAGCTGGATGGCCCCAGCAATATTGAAGGCCTTAGGTGAGGTGTGGATTGAATACGCCATCAACGCCACATAAATGACTAATGTAGGCCCGCTCGGAATCGCTGGATCATGGTGTCCTCTAGTATGGCGGAGATCGGGATCTAAGCAATGGGCGRTGGAATGCCGAAATGTAAGACTCTAAGGCATGTCGCCACCAAGCCATCTGATCTCGCCCACTCGGGTGATCGAGTCATGTGTGGGCATAGGGCGAGAGAAATATTGCTAGAGCAAGTCCCGAAACTCAAAGTACGACATGTGGTCATGTACGGCACGCTGTGAGCGGAGGGCGAGGAAGTCACGCCATGTGGAAGTTGCACGACCTGTGGAGCGAGAGGACATCTCGACGGACCACAACTSCATGGTGACACCATGGTAACAAAGTTGCTCCTCAGCGGTAGTGATCCATCCTTGGAGCTCAAAGGCCTTGCCGTCGAACTGTGGAAGGCGATCCGATCGAAACTATGGAACATACGTCGGAGGCAATTAGTGAGAAGGGAGAGGGAGAGCTGACTGGGACAAGAGGACAAAAGATATGTGGGCACCGGTGGTAGCAATTGGTAAGGAAGGAAGTTGGGGTAATGGTCCCTGACACAGATTGGTCSCAGGCGTTGGGAGGGCGAAGTGCATCRCAGMAGTCTGATGCTGTCCGTAAATGAAGGGAGCAATAGGTTGTGCCGCCAAGTGGGGAGGTAAGGACTGACCTCTGTGGAKACGGCGAATGTAACCTGAGCCAAGTAGAGTTGGTGCTGGAGCTTAGCAATCTGTGTCCTGGGTGTAGGAGCCGGTGTGGGGGGGAACAGGAGGGGATGCCAAGGGTGAGTAGAGGAGGTGGCGGGACAAGATGCCATGGCTCCTGTGGAGGAAAGTAAGGGTGTAGGAACCTAGGAGGAAGATGTAGCCGCAGAGGAAGGGTCGGTCTGGGGAGGGGATATGCCACCCGTTGTGGAGATGAGCTTGTAAATGACTCCGACCGAGGTAGAAGAGGAAGATTGTATAGATGTTGATCTATGTGACACCCCGTACAGATACGGGGCGTTCCTACGGCCGATACGGGGCCCAGGCGGCTGTACGAGCCCCCAGGCGGCTGTACGAGCCGTTTCGGCGTCCTTCCTGGGGGGGTTATGACACGTGGGGCGGTGGGAGGGGTGTGCATGCTGGTGGCTACCCCCCCAAGTAAAAAACAAGAAAAAAAAAAATGTTCCTTTGGGGGGTGGGTGGGGGTGGAAAAAAAAAAGAAAAAAGATTGATTGATTTATTGATTGATTGATTGATTGATTTATTGATTGATTAATGATTGATTGATTGAATGATTGATTGATTGATTGATTGATTAACTGATTGATGATTGATTGACTGATTGATTGATTGATTAATCGATTGAATTTTTTTTTTTGATTGATTGATTGATTGATTGATTAATTGGTTGGTTGGGAGAGGGCCCCCCCCCCCTTCCCTCCCCAACGCCCACACACACACACACACGCAC